ATCCATGAATAAAGATTACTGACCTTATTCTTGCAGGGTGGGATTTTCAATTTTGGTTAGATCTCGTCACCGTTCCTGTCGTGAACCAGGTCACCACCGTCCTGAATTAAACCATCAATCTCAGATGTCAGGTCTTTGTCTCACGGATCCTAGATTCGCCCGTGCACGGTTTCGGGGTTCCCTGGGACGACAACAACGGGTCTTGAGATCCGGCTCGAAGGACCAATTGTCACGAGAATTTTGTTATCTCAATGGTTGAAGTCAACTACTTCTCAAATCTTGTAATAATTCCCAGAGGTTGTCAATCTCTAGTTAAATAATGAATTAACAAAGACCCCTTTCTGCAATGGTCAGCCTTTATTCATGAGAGTGCTCTGTCCCAAAATGGGCGCACAATCTTTTTATACACATACGTCAGAGGAAAAATCCCACCCCGCTTTAGGCGGCCTGTATTTTCCACCGTACACATCTTGTAAACTCACACCTGGGTTTAGCTCATATGGTTTTCCACCCACACACACACACACACACACACACACACACACACACATGTTCTTATCATAGGCTACTCCTTGCTCGGGCAGGCTGCATTTCTTCTCTATTCCCATACATAGTTATCGCTGTTCTCACAATATTCTGCAAGCCTCTCACTCCCCTTCCCTGTGTGGGGACATCTGTTTTTGAAACCGGTCTCCTGTTATTGGTTTCAATCGTTTTGCACTTCTGCTTGCCTAACGACAAAAATAAGACAACTGCCTCATTGTACTTCTAACTAAGCTACACACATTATCAGATTATAGTCTTATGATTCTAACACATTTCACACAGTTTCGGGGTGTAATAATTAGTAATTACCAAATTCTTCAATCAATTACTGAGTCCACTGAGACAGGCGTGAATCAGACGGGTGTCTCGTGAGCCATCCCCGCAGCTTCCCCAATGGATTAGTCCGCTGAGACAGGCGTGAATCAGACAGGTGTCTCGTGAGCCATCCCCGCAGCTTCCCCAATGGATTAGTCCGCTGAGACAGGCGTGAATCAGACGGGTGTCTCGTGAGCCATCCCCGCAGCTTCCCCAATGGATTAGTCCGCTGAGACAGGCGTGAATCAGACAGGTGTCTCGTGAGCCATCCCCGCAGCTTCCCCAATGGATTAGTCCGCTGAGACAGGCGTGAATCAGACAGGTGTCTCGTGAGCCATCCCCGCAGCTTCCCCAATGGATTAGTCCGCTGAGACAGGCTTGAATCAGACAGGTGTCTCGTGAGCCATCCCCGCAGCTTCCCCAATGGATTAGTCCGCTGAGACAGGCGTGAATCAGACAGGTGTCTCGTGAGCCATCCCCGCAGCCTCCCCAATGGATTAGTCCGCTGAGACAGGCGTGAATCAGACAGGTGTCTCGTGAGCCATCCCCGCAGCCTCCCCAATGGATTAGTCCGCTGAGACAGGCGTGAATCAGACAGGTGTCTCGTGAGCCATCCCTGCAGCTTCCCCAATGGATTAGTCCGCTGAGACAGGCGTGAATCAGACAGGTGTCTCGTGAGCCATCCCTGCAGCTTCCCCAATGGATTAGTCCGCTGAGACAGGCGTGAATCAGACAGGTGTCTCGTGAGCCATCCCCGCAGCTTCCCCAATGGATTAGTCCGCTGAGACAGGCGTGAATCAGACAGGTGTCTCGTGAGCCATCCCCGCAGCTTCCCCAATGGATTAGTCCGCTGAGACAGGCGTGAATCAGACAGGTGTCTCGTGAGCCATCCCTGCAGCTTCCCCAATGGATTAGTCCGCTGAGACAGGCGTGAATCAGACAGGTGTCTCGTGAGCCATCCCTGCAGCTTCCCCAATGGATTAGTCCGCTGAGACAGGCGTGAATCAGACAGGTGTCTCGTGAGCCATCCCTGCAGCTTCCCCAATGGATTAGTCCGCTGAGACAGGCGTGAATCAGACAGGTGTCTCGTGAGCCATCCCCGCAGCCTCCCCAATGGATTAGTCCGCTGAGACAGGCGTGAATCAGACAGGTGTCTCGTGAGCCATCCCTGCAGCTTCCCCAATGGATTAGTCCGCTGAGACAGGCGTGAATCAGACAGGTGTCTCGTGAGCCATCCCTGCAGCTTCCCCAATGGATTAGTCCGCTGAGACAGGCTTGAATCAGACAGGTGTCTCGTGAGCCATCCCTGCAGCTTCCCCAATGGATTAGTCCGCTGAGACAGGCGTGAATCAGACAGGTGTCTCGTGAGCCATCCCTGCAGCTTCCCCAATGGATTAGTCCGCTGAGACAGGCGTGAATCAGACAGGTGTCTCGTGAGCCATCCCCGCAGCCTCCCCAATGGATTAGTCCGCTGAGACAGGCGTGAATCAGACAGGTGTCTCGTGAGCCATCCCTGCAGCTTCCCCAATGGATTAGTCCGCTGAGACAGGCGTGAATCAGACAGGTGTCTCGTGAGCCATCCCTGCAGCTTCCCCAATGGATTAGTCCGCTGAGACAGGCGTGAATCAGACAGGTGTCTCGTGAGCCATCCCCGCAGCCTCCCCAATGGATTAGTCCGCTGAGACAGGCGTGAATCAGACAGGTGTCTCGTGAGCCATCCCCGCAGCCTCCCCAATGGATTAGTCCGCTGAGACAGGCGTGAATCAGACAGGTGTCTCGTGAGCCATCCCTGCAGCTTCCCCAATGGATTAGTCCGCTGAGACAGGCGTGAATCAGACAGGTGTCTCGTGAGCCATCCCCGCAGCCTCCCCAATGGATTAGTCCGCTGAGACAGGCGTGAATCAGACAGGTGTCTCGTGAGCCATCCCTGCAGCTTCCCCAATGGATTAGTCCGCTGAGACAGGCGTGAATCAGACAGGTGTCTCGTGAGCCATTTAAAAAATATATATATTTTTGATATATATGCCAAGAGTGTGCAAAACTGTCATCAAGGCTAAGGGTGGCTACTTTGAAGAATCTCAAATATAAAATATATTTTGATTTGTTTAACACTTTTTTGGTTACTACATGATTCCATATGTGTTATTTCATAGTTTTAATGTCTTCACTATTATTCTACAATGTAGAAAATAGTTAAAACAAAGAAAAACCCTTGAATGAGTAGGTGTGTCCAAACTTTTGACTGGTACTGTATATATTTTATTTGTTTATTTTAGAGCTCGACTAAAAAATCTTTGTCGACCAACAGCCTATCGACCAGTCGACTAAATGGGGTCAGCCCTAATTAAAACACAGAGTTTGTCTATATATGAAAAAATTGACGTTTTAACATTTCTACCAATCGACTGGTCGAAAGAATAGACGACTTTCAGTAGACCAATATTTTTTTGGTCGGGGACAGCCCTACATTAACCTATTGCCTACTGGATTCATTCAGTTGATCATAACTAGGTGACTTTTCCTCTCCTCACTAAGACGAGGGCTGTTTCCTTGTCTCCTCACTAAGACGAGGGCTGTTTCCTTGTCTCCTCACTAAGACGAGGGCTGTTTACTTGTCTCCTCACTAAGACGAGGGCTGTTTCCTTGTCTCCTCACTAAGACGAGGGCTGTTTCCTTGTCTCCTCACTAAGACGAGGGCTGTTTCTTTGTCTCCTCACTAAGACGAGGGCTGTTTCCTTGTCTCCTCACTAAGACGAGGGCTGTTTCCTTGTCTCCTCACTAAGACGAGGGCTGTTTCCTTGTCTCCTCACTCTGCTTCCACCTCCACCTAATTGTTCTCAACAGTTAAAATCAATATTTTGTTTTCTAGAAATAGGGCTTTTTTATCTGGCCGGGCTCATTCAATTTCTTCGATTCTGGGGCTTGGGCCTCAGCTCAGCGGGCTTAGGTCGGACCAGGCTCTGATGTTCATGCCCAATGACAACTCTAGTGTGTGTAAAGAAAAGCCCACTGCTCACTAATGGCAAAATGTAGATTTCAGCCTAAATAGACATACCCAAATGTGACTGCTATTCATGTGCATGATTCTAATAATAATAATAATAATAATGATTCTAAAATGCAGGAACTTGGTATATTTGGAAAGAAGACATCTGGGAGATGATGAGGAAATGATCAGAAGATAGATAGGAGTTACATAGTTCAGAATACACAAGATCAAACACACACAAAATAACCGTGTTTTTATTTTGAAAGTCATCTTTCATTGACAAGCTATAAGTGAATTATTGATGAGTAGAGCTGGAAACACATCAGATGGCTTCCACAACATGTGAACAATATCAGAATAAAAAATGGGATTGATAGACCTAACAGCTAGAAATGGGGAGATGTTTTAGTAAGTGGTGTCAGGTGTGGTCACGGGACGTTTCCAAGTCTCTGAGCCCGGTAGCAATAGTTCTCATTACGCATAAAAGGTTCTAGGCCTTGCTCTGTACCACCCAGGTCAACTGCATATCCCTGGAAAGCTTCTCTCATTGGCTACAAGACTGTCAAGGTGCCATAGTAGCCAATCCCCCGTGTAATGGATGCCTACAGCACGTAAGCAGGCAACATCATATTTTTGATGCGCAAAAATATAGTCACTCGGTGGACATTCGATGTTGCCATTAAGTCATACATCATCGGATAACATTGGCAATAGGCTAGATTTGTTCCCACCATCTTGAAATGAGGTCATCGGCTCGGCCTTCCATTATACATTTGTATGCCCATATATGGTAGGAAGTTACACCAAAGATTTGAAGGCACCGATCAATAGCCAAGATGCTCAGCTTTCTGCAAACACCCTGATTTTGCAGACAGGGGCTACCGTTCTCATACCAGACTGATTATATATATTTTTTTAATCAAATAGGATCAAACGTAACACTGTGTACGCAAAGACCCTGGAATGATTAATGAAAGGACTAGTTGATGCAACAATGGACTGATATGTAGCCTACCTTACTAAGTCATTGATTTCTCTCTGTTTGTGTGTGTGTGTTTCCGGTTGTGTGTGTGTTTGTGTGTGTGTGTGTGTGTGTTTCTGGTTGTGTTTGTTTTGGGGTGTGTCTGTGTCTTAGCTGAAGGAAACACACATGTGCCAAGCTGTGTTTGGGTCACTGCAGGACTCTTCAACTTCCTGGCGTATACACTGGGTCAGTACTGCTGTGTGTGTTCTTACTGGGGTGTGTGGGTGTGTGTGTGTTTTTACTGGTGTGTGTGTCTCTGTCTCGCTCTCTCTCTGTTATAAAGACGGTGTGGATGGTAAGCAGGCGAGGCGTACTAACTCCTCCACACCACTGGGGGAGCTGTTTGACCACGGCCTGGACAGCTGGGCCTGTGTGTTCTTCGTGGCCACCGTCTACTCCATATTTGGGCGTGGCGCGAGCGGTGTGGGCGTGGCCACGTTGTACTACATCCTGTGGGTGGTCCTGTTCTCATTCATCCTGTCTCACTGGGAGAAATACAACACAGGAGTCCTCTTCCTTCCCTGGGGCTATGACATCAGCCAAGTGGTGAGTAGGACACACACCTACCTATTATTATATATACCTACACACCTACCTTATTAATATACCGATAAGAACGAACACGACCGAGGAGGGAGAGAAAATAAAAAAAGAAAGAGGAACCACTAGATGAGAGAACCGACACACCGAATAGGAGGATAGAGACCACACACCGACCGATGTAGGGATAGACCGACACACCTACCGATGAGTGATAATACTAACACACCACCTATATGATATAACCACAACCGACCGATGAGGATAGATACCTACAACACCTACCTATTATTATATATACCTACACACCTACCTATGATTATATATACCTACACACCTACCATTATGATATATACCTACACACCTACCTATTATTATATATACCGACAACCTACCTAGTATTATATATACCACACACCGACCGATTAGTATGATACAGACACACCACCTATTATTAGATATACCTACACACCTACTATATTATATATACCTACACACCTACCTATTATTATATATACCTACACACCTACCTATTATTATATATACCTACACACCTACCTATTATTATATATACCTACACACCTACCTATTATTATATATACCTACACACCTACCTATTATTATATATACCTACACACCTACCTATTATTATATATACCTACACACTACCTATTATTATGATACCTACACACCTACCTATTATTATTATACCTACAAACCACCTATCCTACCACTCCTATTGTATGTAACCTACACACCTACCTATTATGTATACGACGACACCGACCTATATTATGTAGACCACACACCTACGATATTATATACTACACACCTACCGAGGAGTAGAGTAACCACACACCGACCGAGATGAGATAAAACCGTGACAGAAGAACACCACCAATAAAACCACATACCAGTAGTAGAGAACCTACACACCACCGATGAGGGAAGAACCACAACACCGACCGAGGATGGAGAGAGACCTACACACCACCGAGAGTTATAAGACCACACACCGACCGATGAGGTATAGAGACCACAACCACAGAGATAACCTACACACCACCGTATGAGAGAGACCACACACCACCTATGATGAGAGAGAAACCTACAAACATTAAACCTACCACCGACTATGTAGAATATACCTACACACCTGACTAGTAGGAGATATGACCGACACACCACCTATTAGATATAGACCACACACCACCTATTATGATATATACCACACCACCTACCTATTATTAGATATACCTACACACCTACCTATTATTAATAGACCTACACACCTACCTATATTATATATACCTCCCACACCTACCTATATATATACCTACACACCTACCTATTATTATATATACCTACACACCTACCTATTATTATGTATACCTACACACCTACCTATTATTATATATACCTACACACCTACCTATTATTATATATACCTACACACCTACCTATTATTATGTATACCTACACACCTACCTATTATTATATATACCTACACACCTACCTATTATTATGTATACCTACACACCTACCTATTATTATATATACCTACACACGGCCCCTCGTCCTTCATTCTTTCTCTCTCTCTCTCTCTCAGTCCATCTCTATAGTGTACATCTTCACAGCGATGGTTGGCGTGGAGACATGGTATGAACCAATCTGGTGGAACTTCCACTACCGAGACCTGTTCACTTTCATGATCCTCGGTGAGCTCCCATTGGTCCGTTGGGTGCACCTTGCTGTGTGATTGGTTCAGATGGGATGTTGTGTTCTGATTGGTTTCTGTGATGTCATCTCCAGGTTGTTCCTTCACTGTGACCCTTCCCATGAGCCTCTACAATGTCTTCAAGTAAGAAACTTACTTAAACTGGTTATAGTTAGGGGTATAGTTAAACGGATTATAGTTAGCTTATAGTTAAACTGGTTAGAGTTAGCTTATAGTTAAACTGGTGATAGTTAGGTTAACTCAGCAAAAAAAGAAACGTCCCTTTTTCAGGACCCTGTCTTTCAAAGATAATTCGTAAAAATCCAAATAACTTCATAGATCTTCATTGTAAAGGGTTTAAACACTGTTTCCCATGCTTGTTCAATGAACCATAAACAATTATTGAACATGCACCTGTGGAACGGTCGTTAAGACACTAACAGCTTACAGACGGTAGGCAATTAAGGTCACTGTTATGAAAACTTAGGACACTAAAGAGGCCTTTCTACTGACTCTGAAAAACACCAAAAGAACGTGCCTTAGGCATGCTCCAAGGAGGCATGAGGACTGCAGATGTGGCCAGGGCAATAAATTGCAATGTCCGTACTGTGAGACGCCTAAGACAGCGCTACAGGGAGACAGGACGGACAGCTGATCGTCCTCGCAGTGGCAGACCACGTGTAACACCAATTGCTAGGTGGGACAACCACATCAAAGGCATAGAAAGGACATTCTTCCTCAATAACGTAGCTGTCAGAGATAGAAGGGGGGTTGGGGGGGTCAAGTGCTGGTTAAGTGGGGTGTAGTTTTAGAGCCTGGAGGTAAGGAGGGGCTGTTCTGTAGGTAAGGCTAGTAAGGCTAGTAAGGCTAGTAAGGCTAGCACCATGGTAAGGCTAGTAAGGCTAGTAAGGCTAGCACCATGGTAAGGCTAGTAAGGCTAGCACCATGGTAAGGCTAGTAAGGCTAGTAAGGCTAGCACCATGGTAAGGCTAGTAAGGCTAGTAAGGCTAGCACCATGGTAAGGCTAGTAAGGCTAGCACCATGGTAAGGCTAGCAAGGCTAGCAAGGCTAGTAAGGCTAGCACCATGGTAAGGCTAGCAAGGCTAGTAAGGCTAGTAAGGCTAGCACCATGGTAAGGCTAGCACCATGGTAAGGCTAGCAAGGCTAGCAAGGCTAGTAAGGCTAGTAAGGCTAGTATCCCCCTTCTGATAACCAGGTGGCGAATCGCATCTCTGCATGTCTGGCAGACATATCAGTATGGATGACGGATCACCACCTCAAGCTGAACCCTGGCAAGACGGAGCTGCTCTTCCTCCCGGGGAAGGACTGCCCGTTCCATGATCTCGCCATCACGGTTGACAACTCCGCTGTGTCCTCCTCCCAGAGTGCCAAGAGCCTAGGCGTGACCCTGGACAACACCCTGTCGTTCTCCGCCAACATCAAGGCGGTGACCCGCTCCTGCAGGTTCATGCTCTACAACATTCGGAGAGTGCGACCCTGCCTTACACAGGAAGCGGCGCAGGTCCTGGTCCAGGCACTTGTCATCTCCCGTCTGGACTACTGCAACTCGCTGTTGGCTGGCCTCCCTGCCTGTGCCATTAAACCCCTACAACTCATCCAGAATGCCGCAGCCCGTCTGGTGTTCAACCTTCCCAAGTTCTCTCACGTCACCCCCCTCCTCCGCACACTCCACTGGCTTCCAGTTGAAGCTCGCATCCGCTACAAGACCATGGTGCTTGCCTATGGAGCAGTGAGGGGAACGGCACCTCTGTACCTTCAGGCTCTGATCAGTCCCTACACCCAAACGAGGGCACTACGTTCATCCACCTCTGGCCTGCTGGCTCCCCTTCCTCTGCGGAAGCATAGCTCCCGCTCAGCCCAGTCAAAACTGTTCGCTGCTCTGGCACCCCAATGGTGGAACAAGCTCCCTCACGACGCCAGGACAGCGGAGTCACTCACCACCTTCCGGAGACATTTGAAACCCCACCGCTTTAAGGAATACCTGGGATAGGATAAAGTATTCCTTCTAACCCCCCCCCCCCCCCCCCCCCCCCCCCACAAATTGTAAAGTGGTTATCCCACTGGCTATAGGGTGAACGCACCAATTTGTGAGTCGCTCTGGCTAAGAGCGTCTGCTAAATGACGTTAATGTGCCCTTGAGCAAGGCACTTAACCCTAATTGCTCCTGTAAGTCGCTCTGGATAAGAGCGTCTGCTAAATGACTAAAATGTAAAATGTAAATGTAATGTAAATGTAAGGCTAGCACCATGGTAAGGCTAGTAAGGCTAGTAAGGCTAGCACCATGGTAAGGCTAGTAAGGCTAGTAAGGCTAGCACCATGGTAAGGCTAGTAAGGCTAGTAAGGCTAGCACCATGGTAAGGCTAGTAAGGCTAGCTCCATGGTAAGGCTAGTAAGGCTAGTAAGGCTAGCACCATGGTAAGGCTAGTAAGGCTAGCACCATGGTAAGGCTAGTAAGGCTAGCACCATGGTAAGGCTAGTAAGGCTAGTAAGGCTAGCACCATGGTAAGGCTAGTAAGGCTAGTAAGGCTAGCACCATGGTAAGGCTAGTAAGGCTAGCACCATGGTAAGGCTAGTAAGGCTAGCACCATGGTAAGGCTAGTAAGGCTAGTAAGGCTAGCACCATGGTAAGGCTAGTAAGGCTAGTAAGGCTAGCACCATGGTAAGGCTAGTAAGGCTAGTAAGGCTAGCACCATGGTAAGGCTAGTAAGGCTAGCTCCATGGTAAGGCTAGTAAGGCTAGCACCATGGTAAGGCTAGTAAGGCTAGCACCATGGTCTTGTAGTGGATGTGAGCTTCGCCTGGAAGCCAGTGGAGTGTGCAGAGAAGCGGGGAGAGAACTTGGCAAGGTTGAAAATCAGGGGGGCTGTTGCGTTCTGGATAAGTTGCAGGGGTTTGATGGCACAAGCGGACCAGCCATCACGA